CGAACCCACGAACTCGAACACTGCTTATTAATATATGTTGGGTAAGGGCAAACCTGTTATATATAATTAACATCTCCCCAACGCAAAAATACATCTTGAAAATACATACAAGATCTTGACATTTACCTTGATGTCTAAAAGAGCCTGAATCCACCCCAGCACAATTTTTCCAATATTTTTGCAGTGCAGTTTCTTTTTACTTGATGTTGAGCATTCAGGAGCTTTTGCAATAATGACTTACAGGAACAACAATTTTTACACCAATTTTATGAATATCCAACAACATGCCCTCCTCATGAAATGCCCTTTCATCCGAGACAACTCACCCAAAGTACTGAATTTTCCAACTGACGTGTGCTCTGTGCATGCAAGCTTGCACACAAGGATGTGAACGTTTTATAAATTATAAACCAAGCCCCTGACTGAAGTGAATCTCCGTAGGTTTACTCTTAAAGAATGTCTTTACGTGCATACCAAGTTTTAAAAATATCACGCATGAGGAAAGCCGTGATTGTGATAGCCTTCTTGACTGTGAGATGGTCGATAAAAGTCCAGCTCTTTGAGGGTTAAGGGTTTACTTGTATCTAAAACTCCATCAGTCCTCAGTGTATTTTCACACCTCTAAAGAGAGGATGATTTTTATCTTAGGCAAAAGGTCGCTTTGATGCAGCAGCTGTTTTAGCATAAAATTGTTGCCAGAATGTCAATTTCTTCCTGAATAAATGTCTGTGACTTCGTCCCAAATGATGACTCTCGTAAGTCAACCATGACTTCTTGCATTTGTAAACATTACTGGAAAAGGTACCAAAGCTTCCATATTGTCAAATGCCACACTGAATGCTAGGCATATGTCATACTGTTCACTTTTCCCTGAGTTTACAGAGGAAAGTCTCAGTGAAAAAAACAAGCACTGACAAATTAAACACATGCTCCAAACCCCCCAAAAGCTCTAGAATTTTTAAATGCACTTTTTTCAGTACTCTTCAAGTACTAATTATATTGCAGATACATTTCATTTAAAATCTTAACATGAATGAATTTAACTCCTCAGGCACTTTTAAATGTCAACCAACATTTTCTCAATCAAAGCATCAGGGTTTTTAAAATGCAAATGAGAGTTCCTGAGTCACATTATAAAGATTTGAAACAAGTTAATACTTGTAGATTTGTTCAGCAAGTATCTATTACTGCCATAATGCCATTTCCAAATTAGTTAATGGGATTTAACATTCTATGAAAAATGTACATATTACATACATGTATATATAACAAATGCACATACATGACCAACAAAGATATTCCATTCATGTACATATGCACTTACTGTATTACATGGATTTTATAACATAAGCCATTTGTCTTATTCAAACCTTTATAAACATAAGTATTTTTTAAAATGTTGCCATCATGTCACCTCACTGGCAGCATCCATTAAATTTGAGAAAAACAGTGCAACGACACAACTACATGTAACTCAATCCCAGAGGTACATAAGAATGAGACAAAAGCCAGTGTGTTGGTTCAAGCACTGGTTCTTGTACTAAATGTCTTTTACATACACAATTGTGTGTGTGACATATTCACTTCGGTACTCTATGAGACCCCTGTTTATTTGGGTTTTTGAACTCCTCGCCATTCACCTCAGTAGCCCAGGTTCAGTTCCCAGCTCGGTCCACATGTAAATTGAGTTATCAGTCCCAACATGTACCTGATTTTGTCGGTTTTACCCAGATCATTCTTCTGGGCTTTTCCTCCCACCTCTAAAACTGCAACTTCGTCTCATTGTTTCTCTCTACAGGTTTCTCCAGGCTCACGAGCTCAAATGCATGGGGCGCTTTGGAGGAATCCTTCAGTACCAGAAAGACTCCATGATAATAATGACAAAACACATTGCCACAATATCAGAGAAAACGAGGATCTCTCCCCTTCCCCTGGCTTTTTGGGAGGTTAACCACTTTGCGCTGGGGTGTCCTGTACTGGAGACCTTAGGTTTGTATGCATAGCCGGGGTACCCAAAATCAGACAAAGGAGCTGGGCCTTGTAACAAAAGACCGTACTCGGAACAAAAGACCGGGCTGCTGGGTATTGCCAACATTTTTTTCAGTTGTCAATAGCGGAGGTAATGTATCATTATTTTGAAACAGTGTACCACTATTTGTGGCATTCAGTGCGAATAGATCACAACCAGGGACAAAAGCTCTCCAGCAATGAGCGATACAATACTGCTGCACGCTAATCTGGTCGCATTTGAAAAGACGCCAGCAGCACACTGAGTCAGTTTTGGGAACAAAAGAAAAATACACAACACCGCACAATCTGGGCTCTCTTTACAAGGCGGCAGGCCTGGCTGAAATACTCGGGCGTCAATAGATGTTGTCTGTCAGATTAGACATGTTAGAGTAGCCACCAGACAGTCATTCATGTGGGTATAAATGTCCAGTAAATGAAGTTATGAATTTTTGAAGAATGTTGAAAATGGAAAATCTTCAAAATCCCCTGGGAACTCGTCCTGTAACTTCAATTTAGACTCGGTAGCACATGCACAGTGGTTTAAAACCATATTTGACCCAGACATCAGTAGATATTGGGACCATGAAGGGTCGGAATTCCTAAAAACTATATCAAACATGTTTGAACATCATCTCTAAATACAGAAAACTAGGTTGAAAAGATTTAAACCAGAGACTTCACCAAAATGGTCAAAAACAGGAGCAAAATCTGAAAGAGGGCGCTACCTATGCATAGCGCCCTCTTCGGCTGTGTTTGCATAAAATATTTGCACTGTTTGCTCTGCTGTACCGGTGTGGTATCAAACCAATCTTTGTTGATGATTTAGGGTTAAATAAAGAATAAAGAAAGGGTTTCAGTGATTTGTACAAGCACTTTTTATGGGTGCTTTTTATTTTATTCCAAATCTCACCGTTAGAGAGTTCCATCTTCCTGGCCATTGAAGACAGAAAAATGTGAAATATGTAGCTTTGCAAATTGAGGAGTTCTGATAAGGAGTCTGATGGCTACCTTTGGGTTTGTTTCAGGTTGGGAAATAAAGCTCTACTGAGTTACGATATAGCCATTAATGTCTGCTCTACATCACAATGACAGCTCAATTACCTTTTGTCTGTTTGTTTTGGGTTTTTTTTCTGACAGGACAAAATTCAGTCCAAGATGAAAGTACCTGTGTATTTGGCTTCCTCTGAGAAAACACCTCTGTTTGGCTAAAACAGTGTTTACCCTTTTCTCTCTGCTCACATACTGTACACCATCCCGGTCAAGTTTACAAAAAAATAAAACTTTGTTCCTTTGTAATTTTTTGTGCAAGACTTTTCCTAAACAATGCATCTCACACTCCATGCAACCAGTGGCAAGATGATATTATTTCATCGTAGATGGGCGAATAAAGCACAACTCAAGAGATTTCACTTCGTCGAAATTGTAACTGGCTTTGGCACTTTGATATTCAATGCGATGTCATCGTACAAATCGTGTGGGATTGGAGAGAAAATGTACAGGCACGTGTTGCTGAACTTCGCAGACTATTCATGTCAACAGAGGGCGCTCGTTCACGTGCGATCGGCAATATTTCTAGTGAAAACATTGATCGAAATTTTGTCTTTTACGGCGTAAGGGGCATTTCCGCAAATTTACCGTGATTTTACCTTGACAAGGGATATTTATTCTCTTGATACGTTACAAATTTATGACATTCTACCATGGGTACTAGAAGGTACTCTTCAAAATGTCTTATCATAAATGTAAATATTTTTAAACAGATGTATTTTGTGCTATTTTAGTTGACTTTTTTCAATGTTATGTTACCGTATCATCCAAGAATCGACCCATATCATACTCTACACTATTCGAAGGGGTACATCTAGGTAACATAAAAAAGCAATATTTTATATTTAAACAAAGTTTTATTTGCCTCAGCAGATATTTCACACTGAAACAAAATGTGGATCTTTTTTATTTGCTACTTGTGTAAGCTTAAACATTAAAACTGATATATCTCAGAAACAGAACATGAAATTTTAAAATAATTTTTTTTTACACTTAAATCTTGATTTTCAGACTCTAATGAAGAGGTTTTTGTTGAAAATTGAAAAAAAATAGATCAGACCAAATGTCTAGGTCTTAAACCGCTGTGATATGGTTAAAAGAATACACCTGTATTGGGTACAATGTACAACCATACCTCAGTTGTTGTTGCCTATTTACTCTAGAAGTACAAATCCGTTTCATTGGCAAGTTCAATGCTTGTGCCTGCCTAAACTTACCCCTGCTACACATGTACAATAGTTTCACACACCTGGACACATATCGTAGCCCTTAGTTACTGAATAAACAATGCATGACATGCATTGGCAGTGCAGGTGACAGTTATAACATGATGTTATGGCTGTCAACTGTGGAAAGCCATAGTATACATGTACTTGGACTGTGAAATACAAAAGGTCGACAGACCTGTGCTAAAAGTGACACTTTGCAAACTACAGTACAGCATTTTTAGCACTGCCTTGATGCTAAATAAAATCTGTACTCACCCTCTTTTGCAAATCTTGCATCTATTTGACTGTTCGTTGCTGTGTTTTCGCATATGGCGTGCCAAAACTGATGGAAACATGAAGGATCTGTCACAATATCTGCACTTGAGTCTGGTTTTTGGAGTCCATGTACTGTCCTGCATGTTTTGCTTTTGCTTTCTTTTCTCCATCTAAAGAGAAGCAAAATGGACTATGCTGAAATATATTGAATTTGTGATTACACAGTAACATGTCGTTTGGCAAAAAAAATAAATGAACAAATTAATGAAAACAAATCCAATTTCACCTTAAAACACTCAAAATCAAGTCATCATCTTTAACATCATAGTCTCACATCAACAATGAGAAAAAGCGTTGCTAAAAACACATTGAAGGCTTTCCAAAAAGCATTGAAACATTCACAAAATCACAATTATCACATTCTTTCTTTTCAAATTGCTCACTGATGCTCTTTTGAAAAACCGAGAGAAAGCGATTTTTCCTTTCATAAGGATTACAAGTTTTTTGCATGCTAAAATATTTCTGGAACACATGTCCAATGTGTAAGCTTCCATACGTGACTTTTATAACAGTGAAGAAAAGCATCTAATGAAAGTAAACATAGGATTTGACAGAAAAAAATGAACTGAAAGAATAAACAAAACACTGAAAAAAAACGGTGATGGTTGTTGGACTTGAACCCAGATTCACTGAAAGCAGCACAAGTAATGACCGAGCTACCATAGCACCTTGCTGGCTTAGTGGAATCCAATTTACATGTATCATTCAGATTGGCTGTGGTTACTGCACAATGCTGTGACCAGTGTTGCAAGTGTCGAGGCCAGTCGCAGTCTCGTCTTGCGACCACTTTTTGCCAGTCTTGGTCTTGGTCTCAGTCTTAATAGCTGTGGTCTCTGTCTTGGTCTCGGTCCCCTTTGGTCTCAATATTATGGCTGGTCTCAGGTCAAGACCAGCAATATGCAGCATTTACCTGTCATAATATTGATCGATTACAATGTACTTTGTGTTCGCTTCAAATTTACATTCCCTTCAAATTTGCCGCATTGCTTCATCAGCACGTTGTCCTATCCCTTTGGTACTACATATGTAGTAGAAACATTTGCTAGCCAGTACCGTGGATCATGCTGTCAATTCTGTTTATAAATCGTTATACTGTGGTAAGGTTGGACTGCATGCTGGAAGGTTATCACCCACTAAACAAGTACCGCACACACAGCCAAAGGCAATGTGCATGCAGTGCATGACCATGTGTATATGTTGTACATAGTTTGCAGCTTGCACCAGGAAAGAAAAGATTGACTCGTTAAATGGGTTATCGACATGAACTATATGCAGTGGGATATGCAGGGCATGACGTGTACTTGGGGCAACTGTCAATTCCTTGGGCATGTGCCTGCCTTGCATTATTAAATACACGTAACGACAAAGATCCCTAATCCAACACATTCAGCAAATCTGGGGTAATAAAGTTTGGTTACAGAGACCAAAAAGAGAACAATGACATTAAAGCAAGGAACAGAAAAAAGTCTGCTGTATACGCATTTTTGTCCCCGGCACAACGCGAATATCTGAATGTTGTGGAATAAGTTTGGCATTTATTCGCAAAATGAGCCAGGCACAAAGTAGCATTATCAATTTAGGCGCCACGCTGATGGGGCTTCCATTTTCAGAGATGTCTGTGGGTGGACTCCTTCCTTTCATTTTTTGTTGTGTTTTTGTTTTGTTTTAATGAAAAAATACAAGGCCTATGCACTCAAAAATTTGCATATGTGTACAGGTAGGCCTACGCCTTCATCATACACGTACACACTGGCTATAAAGTTGGAATTGCCGATTGAAAACTGAAGTTTAAACCCATCAAAATAAATTGGGATCCTTCTGAGAATAAACAATGGGACTGTTCATAAGAATTATACGTACATGTACATTGTCATTCAAAGTTCCAATCGTTTGTTGGCTGCAGAGTACAAGTGAAATATAAGCTAGACGCATAGTACTAGACGCACCTGTCTTTTTATTTATTTCAATTGGCATTACATGCACTTGGTGGTCTAAGTCTTGGTCTTAGTCTCAGTCCCTCTTAAAGGTCTCGGTCTCAGTCTCGAAAATTCTGGTCTCAGTCTTGGTCTTGGACCAACTGGTCTCAACTAAAACACTGGCTGTGAAAGCGGAATTTGGAAGCTGGGTTACAGCTTCCATAACCATCCACCTTGAGCATAAGCACCCTCTCATCGATTGAAAAGAGCCATGATGGTGGGTGGTGTTCAGTTTGTTGGTAGCAACGTGACCGTAATGCATGCATTTCATAGTTGTTTAACAACCAGCAAAGTGCAGCTCCCACCAAAGGAGTCTACTTTGCTAGGAAAACTGTGCCCTCTCTGGTCCAGCTCAGCTCACAGCCAGGACATAACACAAAAATTCAGTGACCCAATGCAGCAGTTTACACTTTGTACAGAAACTTTACAGGAAATAACAGCACCACATGCACCACATAGTACCCAGCACAGGGACATAGTATACAAATATTGACTGCTTTGAGTGACATAGTAAAACTAGCCTCCCGAGGTGACCCATGGAGCATTCTATTTTCCCGAGGCAAAATACAACACTCCATGAATCATTGAGGGAGGGTAGTTTTACTGTAGGGTGAGATAAAGCAGTCACTATTTGTTTTATAAAACCTCCCCACAAATTCTGCAAAATTTAAGCTAAGAATCAGTAATGAAACACCAAACTGGAATTTACATTCATCAAATTTAATTCAAGAACTCCAAGCGGAACAGCAACGTTTGAATACATTCATTAACCAATGTTGTTCGCTTTGAGCCGAAATACTCACCTATGCTTTCGTCGCTAAGGATAGAGTTCTTTGGTTGCTACTGGTATAGTTCTCTTTCAGAATGAGGCTGCATGTAGTATAGTCTTTCTGAAGTGGTGGTATAAAAATAGTAAAACTAGCAAGCGTCACATGACATACTTTCAGCCAATCAAGATACAGAATCTGTGGGTGAGGTGTTTTAAAACAAACTGTACACAAGAGCCTGCATGTAGTGTACATGTACATGTATGTTAGTCTTGCCCCAAGACTGGTTTTACTGTTTTGGCCAGTGTACCGTGCAGGCGACATGCGCTGGAAAGCACAGCCGAAGAGCACTTCCAATAGACGACACTATGTTCACAAAAGACAACCTGCCAGAAAACCAGTCTTGTAGAATCCGGCAGGCTTACCCGAAAAATTCCAAGCATACTTCATGCGTTCAAGTTCATGTATACTAATGCGCATATGCACTGCCGAAGACAGCACGCCATGCCAACTGCGGTTTTCGGCAGTGCACATGAGCAATTATTCAAGATAATTTTGCGTATGAGGTATGCTCGGAATTTTTCGGGCGAGCCTGCCCAATTCTACAAGACTGGTTTTCTCGCAGGTTGTTTCTTTTGAATATAGCGCCCTCTACTATTACTGCTATTTGGCTGTGCTCACCAGAGCATGTTGCCTGCACGGTATACGGGCCAAAAGAGTAAAACCAGTCTTGGGACAAGACTATATTATCAAGCTACAGTAACTAAGGAAATACATGTACAGAACTATAAAAGCTATAATGATTGATGGGGGTGGGGGGCCCTTTCCCTATTCCTTGTAGCAAGAAAGTCAAACTTCTTTATGTTGAAGTCCAGTTGCCTGATATAAAACATCACCGGAACGCCACCTTTTTTTAAAAATATACATGTAAGAATGGCGCTCAGACAGCAATCCTTTCTTTTAGAAGGGCACCCCTGTAAAACATTTTTAACTCAATTTTTTAACTTCTTGCAACTTATACAAGTTGCTTAGGAAATACTATTGCACCCTCCTTCCACTTCATCATACATGTACATTGTATTTCATCTCAATGAAGGTGGGTCACTACAAAAATGCTGAGAAGACATGAATCTGGGACTGAGAAAGATTTCCAATTTTGTTAATAGGAAATAACAGATTTTCTTGATTACCCAAAGACTTTGTACACAACCTGCTAGAGTCAGGATGCAACATTCCTTCTGGTGTTACCTAAGTAGCAGTTAGGAAAGTCTTACTTTCAAACAACTAAAACCTCCATTTTAGGGCGGACATCACTAGAAAATGTGACATTCTGGCAGTTAAAACGGTTAAAGGCATGTCATGATTTATATGCTATCATAGCAGGATTGTAAACCTAAAGCACATACATGTACATCTAGGCCTAGGCCTATAACTTAGTTGCTGGATGTCAGACAACTCAAGTGAGTTTTAATTAGAACTAAGACCTATTATAATTTATATGGGCATGTGTACGGCTAGTCCGAGTGACTAAGACCCTTTGAATCATCTCCTTTAACATTAGGACAATTGCCTGACTAACGTCTGTGACCATATAGTCACCAGGTCCCTCATTTCACCACCTGTTTATTGTAAAGTTGGATTGGTTTTCACAGTAAGTGGCAAAATACCTTGTGACTACTCGACTTGTCAGCTCATAGGATGTCGGACAACTCGTTTGCCAACTCGACTTCAGACAACTGGACTGTTGCAACAACTTGATCGGTGGGACAACTGGACTGTTGCAACAACTTGATCGGTGGGACAACTCGACTGTTGCAACAACTTGATCGGTGGGACAACTCGACTGTTGCAACAACTTGATCGGTGGGACAACTGGACTGTTTACCAAGTTGTCCATTAAGACAATTTGACTTTGACATACATGTACACATAAAGACAACTCGACCGTGTGAGATAATACATTTTAAAAAAATGTAACAACACTTGTTAAGTGCCATCTACATGTATCTAGTAAACTGTTCCGAGGCGCTGTATTATCATTATCCCTGCACATTGGGCTCACATCACTTGAGCATTCCTGAAACCATCTCAGCTCCCTGGGGAGTATACTAGCCAATGCTGCCATTTCGGCGCAAACGGCCAAACATAACTGTGTCTGCCCTCACAGGTACCCATTTACTCCTGGTGGAAAGAGGCACATAGGAGTAAAGTGACTTGCCCAGGATCACAACATGCTGCCACCAGCTGGATTCGAACCCCTGACCCTATGATCCGAAGCTACAATCCCTAACCACTAGGCCACATGCCTCCTACATGTTTTATTTTCTTGGGTGCAAGATATTTTTACCCATTCGAAGCATTCAGCATAGTGTGGATCAAGTGACATTGCAACTATCTTTGAAATAACGTGGAGTGGCAAAGCTTTCAGAAAGCTGACAGACGGTGCAGCAGCGCAGCATCTTCCCTTCTCCGGCACTGCCCCGCTCAGTCCAATGTCTGCCCACTTTCTGGACACCAGCTTGGTTTTCATCTCCAACTAAATACCATGACAGTGCACAAAGTTTCAAAAGCGTGTAGGCCTAGTATGAAGCCAATAGTGCTAGTAAAAAAAGCGTGTAGGCCTAGTATGAAGCCAATAGTGCTGGTAAATATTAAACAGCTTTAATTTGACTTTTGAACATTTGAATTTCACATGTCTTAACAGACAACATAGCTAAGCGTAGCCCCACTAGTGTTGCTGCTGATAGCACAGCATACCTGCAGCAACACTAGTGCAGCTAGGCCTAGCCTGAGCAGATAATTTGTCTCTACGGCCGACTTGTCTCAGCAGTCATGACAGTCGACTTGTCTTGGCTTTTGACGCACAGACGGTCAAGTTGTCTCAACGGTCGAGTTGGATTAAGTCGAGTTGGCAAACTGTCGAGTTGTCCAGACCCCAGGTAGTGCTGTCGTAGAGTTACTTGGACTGATGTGTGGCCATGCTATGGGGTCATGCTATTAAGCGTCAACAAGTTATTCAAGCATATTAATGCAAAGATTTTTATGTAAAGTGTTAATTAGGATGCTAAATATCAAATTCTATGTATAGTATTATATCAACCTGACATGATAGTTGAGCGACAAAGTCGGGCCTGTTTGTGCAGTCCGACCGGCCGCCATCTTTTTTTCACGTGGACGGCAGAGGAAAGAAAGATGGCGGCCCTGTACATCGCGAACAAATTTTGTTTTACTTTTATACAGTGGCAAGTGTTAGTGTCTCTAAAATATAATAAAACGACTTTTAAATCTGTAGAGGGTATTTTCAAGTTGTTGACGCTTTGTTGACACTACTTGAGTGTGTTGACACTAAATAGCATGACCGATGCTATGCGCTACTGTGCATAAAACATGCAAAAATACCAAACATCCATGCATTGTATGCAAGAACTAGTCCAAGTAACTTGGACCCTAAAAATCACCTTTTTTAACATTTGGACATGCGATGGTAGTAGGGTTCAAGTACCTTCCATAGGCTTTTGTTTCCATTAATTCATTTCACGCAAAATAGCTCGTACCACGATTCCAAATCCTCTAAATTCCCCTGCAAAATAGTCTTTAAACTGCCTGCATGCATTATACCTGCATGGGGTCCTCCAACTTTACTTGGACTAAGACTTAAGTTAAATTAAGCAAGGCCTACTCAAGAACACCATTTGTCAAAATGCAACACGCATTACAAGAGCTCAACTGGTGACTAAAATACCAAAATCGTTCGATAAGGACGTACAGGAAATCTACAGAGAATTTTTCTCTGAAGTTTATAGCTCTTAACGGAAAACAAACTCAAGTACTCACCTCCGCTCTAACAAGAAAATGTCATGACTGAACTGAAACTAACCAGGCCGCCCCCTATATTGGCGATATGGCATGATCAAAGATTGTATAGCGCCGCGCAGCGGCGCTATACAATCTTTGGGCATGATTTCGATTGTCGACAAAGATCGTAGACTGGTTCCCTGCCTTAGTTATGCGTTCAGTGCTGCCGAATTAAAAAAATCGGTCAAGATAATGGCGCCCGAAACCACAGCGTCATTTCATTTCATTTATTATTTCGCGGATCAAATTTACAATGGATAAAACAAAAAAAGTTGAGAAAAAATCGAATACAGTGTAGATATAAAGAAGGCAAAGTTAAAATATAACATCAACCTTATAAAAAGACTAAGACCCAAACACCAAAACAGTTGCATGCCCCTGTCAGTGCGTCATTGAATTTCAGGCTTTTTTAGTTTCATGGGGGAAGCCACTAAGATAAGACTGCAGGTTAATGTAGTTGCATTTTTCGCCACTGAAGACACTAACCAGTTAAGTATAAGGCCACAAATTACCGTGACTGTTTGAACAAGTGAACTTGAATAAAATCTAACTGCCGAACGGCGTTGAAGTCCAACATGAAGACGAAGGATTTTAACCTTAAACTTCAAAATAAATTCTAAACTTCCTCCCTTCCTTAGCGTGGTTAAATCCAAAAGGCACATTAGGCATTTCACGCACCTTGTACCACAGGCAGCCAGCCCTGGCCTGCAGGCCATCCAAACTACCCAAACCCCCTCGTCTACCAACAGATATAGTCTCATGAATGAGAGACCAAAAAAATCAACCATGAACAATTGAAAAGCTGAGTGGGGGCGCCATCCGGATGGTGATATCAAATTTTTGCGAAATAAATGAATTTTGAGGCACTTTTCTGACAGTTTCTACAGCGACAGTACACTGCAGGTCTGAGTCCACTTCCTCCACGGAATGTGTTAAATCTCCCAAAACCTTCATGCCACTCCAATGAGCTTTCATCTTCGGCCTGCTAATCTATTACTTTATAAATAATTTGAAATAATCCACTTTTTCAGGTGGCATCTCACACGACCAATTTGAGCGCGCGTGGCAACCCGTGATACCCACTCACGAGCATTCATCAACGCGTACAAAAAAGGAGTTAGCAGAGCACGCACCCCAAAAACCTCAAACATGCCGGGGGGAGCTGCAGAACGTCACGTTCCCCACCTGTTGGTTGGGTGAGGTCATCGACACCGTACCCGCTTCTTTATTAAAAGAGTAAATCATTCTGTCCAGTGTTGATTCCTTCATGAATATTAATAAAAGAGTAATACTGTTTGCCAAGTTAACTGAGAAGAATGCGGGATAATAGTTAAATATTAATGGACGGTACAAAGTTCAGAAAATGGCTGCCGGCCGTGAGACTAACTTATGCTGTTTTCGGAGTACACGGCAGCATGTTTCACAGCTTCGTGGATTTTAAAATGAGATATCTGTACGTACGTCCAAACTCTTGACGTTTCAGCAACTGGTAAATTAAAAACAAATTTGCATTGTCGTTTCGAACTAAGCTGGACGACACTCAGGAACGCAAAGTGTGTACTCATTTTGTTGTGGTGTCGATTGAGGTAAGTAGTTGCAGAGTGCAAAGTGCAACGGAGGACAAGAAGTTACCTCTAATTTCCTGGTTTCAAGAGTTTGAATGACTACTCGAACAGAGGACTAATGACGTACGAACAGAAGTATTATTTAGCCTGAGAGAAACCAGAACGCCTCATCAAACTGGGTTCCTTTGGCCCTTAATCGCAAGTTCGTGTCAGGGTGAGGCATGGGAATCATGCGATTTCCCCGCAACAACAGGATGATTGTCGCCCTAACAGTCTTCGCCTGTCTCGGTCTCATCCCGTCATACAGCGTGGTCCAATCCTTCTTCAGCCCTTTGAGGGCTCGGCTGACGGCTGACGAGCTCGCCAGACTCTATAACAAAGATGTTCCAACAGAGCCAGTTCGTGTGGAAATGGGACGCAGGTGGGAACAAGGATCGTTACCATCCAGCACCTCAAAAGCAGGACCGTAGCAATCTTATTCAATTCTTTACTGTTTCTCTTATTTCTAACAGCGTTTTGTAGCGATTGAGCATTCTCATAAAAAAATGCAATTAATAATTAATTTGTTAAAAGTGATCTGATTGAGAGACATGCGGCTCGGAGACGTTGCTATTTAGTGCGTCTATATATTTTATTGTGCCCACTTATTCATAGCGGATAAAAGGTAGAATCGAACTGTGATGTACGAAAAGACTTACTACAGCTATGAAAAGATAATTGACAGTCTGTACTGTGCCTCCACAAATTAACTTTGGGAAAATAATCCACTTCATGTAATTACCGGAGGGAAATAGAATCAGGCTAGCTAACCCCCTCCCCCAAAAAGCCAATAAGACCCCTTGGATAAGAATGATCCAAGCCTTTTCGAACAATCCGCAACGACAACCAAACGAGTAAACAAAACTGAGGAACCAACACAGCACTAAAGGCAGATTGCCTATAAGCTTACTTTGACTTTCTTCTCAAGAACTGGTTTATGAGCGCATAAAATCAAGGCAATTATAATTTACATTAAATGACTAAAGTTATTAGATAACTTAAGTTCCTCCACTCTTATAAAACAACAAGACCTAAAACTTCCATCAGTCTCGCAAATACCTGATAGGGAGTTTCCCAAAGGAATAGCCAAGAAATCAACCAAAAATCAACTACCCATGCAAAAATAAACAGCGATCAAGCCCTCCACTGTATGATGGACATTGGCCAATTTAATAAGGTTGAACTTCGTCAAATTAAGAGTCATCTATTACACAAACTCAGCGGCGTAGCTAAGGGATGGAGGCAAGGGGTAACTGCCCCCGTGGAAATTCTTGCCCCCTACCCCCTGAAAAGTACGCCACTGCCAAAGGTCGTGTCACTCAATCCTTTCTGACATAAAACAAAAACAGGTTCGCAGACAGACACTATTTCTAAGAGCACTTAGGCCCTATTTTTATTTTCAAAGATACAATGTTGCAATTTCCGAAAGCAACAGTTTCTATTTCCTTTGTTGTTGATTGTGCTGTGGCATCTTTACTTTGCCAGGTCTGTCACGTAAACGATCCTCCCATTCATTTATTCCCATTCATTCCCATCATTCCTTCCCTGAATAATATTTCGATTTGCACGCGGATCTTCTTTGACGCCCACTGTATTTGGCCACCGGAAATGTATCCCCTTGAACGCAAAGGAAGGCATGGCTTTTGAAACTTTAATCAATTTTTATACTAACTGACCAGATTGCCTATTCGTACAAGCTTAAGTTTTCACGAATATTGCAGGGGTAAGCATCCGCTGCCTTATACACTGACGTACCTGTTCAGCTGAGAATAGGGTTACTAGCTCTGATGACCTCATTTCCCTACAATTAATTAAAACCCTGGGCTTGGGAACGGGGTCTATCGTTTTCGGGTCTATTGTTCTAGTAAGTATGCATGAATTTGTGATCAATCAAGACCTCACTAACTGTACATAGAGGGCAACTTAAGATTGATTGAGTCCAAACCATATTGAAGAGTATGGGTCTTATAAGGCAGGTTTAAAACATTTGTTTTTGAAATACATTTAGATCCAAGGAAGCTGACGTGGCGGTTTATCTTGTTCCAAACGGCACCAATAAGGTCTTCCTAGACTGTGGGGCTAATACGGCCTCAAGCGTTCAGCTATTCCGTGACACTTACCCCGACGGTAGAGACTATGTTATCCACTCCTTCGAGATTGACGAGCGACTAAAGCCGTACTTTAGAGCGTACCGGAATCACCATCTTCACTGTCCCGTCGGGGTAGCAGCTGAATACGGTAAGGGTGGGGGCCTTTTTTTCATTTCCACGAACGTTACGCGTAGGCTAAATCATACCTGACTTTAGCATACGCAAGAAAATGAACAGGAACAGTCATTATTTTTCACAGCTTCTGGAAAGCACACACAGGCTGTTATAATCCCTTCCCGAGCGCACATTTTTTATGCTCGCTGAAATGACACAAATGGATGATCCCCTTGTGTAAAAGAGAGTGGGACCTTCCTTTTCTTCCGTAGTCTAAGGTAATTATACAAAATGATCACTTATTCATGTAATACTGACGCCCATCTTTTGTCATTTTTATTAATTAGCATCGTGTGGCACGAAATTTTAATAATTTCGTAAAAGTAACTTCTTTATAATGTGAATTTTACTGCACATGGCAAATTTGCGTGGAATATATCTAAACTGAGATGTTTGGTCTTCTCTGTGCCGGTGCAATTTAGTGAGCGCCGCATGATCAGTCCTTTCTGAGAGCTTGCATAAATTACGTCGGCAAAGAGTAAACAAAACAATTTGAATACTGCACTCAACTTTTTGTTTTCTTTTATACTTTTATTCTATCTTAAGTTAGCTCCCCAAGTAATTGTATTGCAGAATACTTAACATGAAGTTGCCTACTGCTGATGAAGTAATGTGATTTTGAAAACAGAGTAACACTGGAAGTGTGTCTTTAATTCATGCTGGACAGGTAACGTTACGGCGTATTTGGAGTCCGTATGGGGACCGAACAAAGGCCTCAACAATGGGCGGGACATGCAATGGGGAGGCGGGACATTTTACGCAGAGCTTGCCGAGATACAAGATAAAGAGACAGGTGACGTGTACATTAATAAGCAATGTTCACAGGAAAGATACATGTTGTGTTTAAAACTAACAGTTCATTTTACATCCTTTAAGTGCTTTTAGTAGTAATGGTGTTTGTTATTATGGTTGAGATAGTGAAGACAGTTTCTGCCACTAGATAAGCCACGCATGCACTGAAACAAAGTAGGCACAATTTATCAACCTCAGATACATACACTGCAGAAAAGTTGTTTAGTCATTTATACTTTTCAAAACACTTTCTAGTTGTCAGTTTCAAATTAACGTGTCTATAGTTTTGATTGATAGTGTTAAGCTCTTAAACATTGATGCTTAGGAATTGGCAGCAATATGTCTAGCATTCAAACATGTTTATAAAAGTGATATAAATTGTGTTAAATGGCTGAACACAGTTTGTAACTTCAACATTTGGTTTTGAAAAATGCAGGTGGAAAACGGAAATTATCCACTCGGCGAGTTATTCCAACTATCGATCTTGCACAGTGGATCAAGGACAATTTCTCCATTCAAGATTATATAATCTTAAAGCTAGACGTAGAGGGCGCTGAATTCAACGTCCTCCAGAGAATGCTACAAACGGGCGCTTTGAAGTACATCGACAAGTTAGTATAACGTGATGAAGTTCAACCGTAAGAAATTAAATCTCTCAGCACTGATTTCTAGCAACCTTTAATCAGCTGTCATTTTCGTTCTCAAAGTAAAACTGAAAAAAAGTTTCAAAGTTAATTGTTAGATGTTGCACGAGATGAGAAAGACGCGTTGACTAAATAACAGAAAAAACATATTTCCAGGTAACGGCAAAGAATACGTAAAATCTTACACTTCTGGCTGCATCACATATACACACAGCTTTGGTTTCATTTTGCTGATAATAGATTAAATTGTGATCTGATCTCTGCAGATTGTATGGCGAGTATCACAACAGTCAGCCCACCGGCTGGTCACAGAGGGACAAAAACCAACTTGTCCTTGACGTCGGTGAAGCAGGCTTCACACTACAAGATTGGGAAGCAGACAAGCACACCTACAGGGACTTCGAGAAAATTCACCCACCTGAAGTAGGCCTATTTAAACCTTCTCTTGATATCGTCCCCGCCAAGCATCCTCTCTAAATCCACACCCTAAAAGTAGCCTCAGCAGAAGAGCACAATGCCTCCCCCGAGCGTCTTTCTACGCGATCTTTTGCTTGGGGTGTAGGATGAATTTTTCAAGATTGTTCAATTTTTTTCAGGTTGTCTAAAACTGGTTGTCAAATTTTCAGTTGTTTCTTTCGTGTCTTCAGATAATTTTCAAATACACTTCAACGTTCTCAAAAACATTTTTTTTAAAATATCGCTTAAACATATTTCGAGCTGCATTTTCTACTACAGTATCCAAAACCTTAAATTTTCGAACAAGGAAAGAGGGGCATTTTTAATGTTATTTTTTGGTAGTAATTCGTTAATGAACATGGCAAAAATCTCAGATCGCTGGGCAAAAAATACAAATTTCGTCGACAGTAGGACCCATAACCAAATTTGATGAGAATGTTTTCCCGTTTTTAACCAAAAAAAACCCCCAAAAACAGCTCCCTGTCAATACGCCGGGAGTGGCCGGTGATGTGTACTCTCTCTGCCAGCCAGGGTCCATCTCTCTTGCCGTTGCCATCGGCATGAACTACAAGCGAGCCCACAAGGTGATCTCCACACTCCAGGCGTACCCTACCCCTCTCCCCCTCACCCTCTTCCTCTACGGGGATTTCGTGGAGCAGTTCCCCGACACAGTGTCAGCCTGGGCCCGGCGATTCCGGATTGGGATCAGAGAGGATGGCGACTACACGGGACCCTACCTGGAGATGATGCCCAAGAATCTCATCCGACGGAGCCTGGTCAGTTCCCTGATGCGGCTACGAGAGCTTGGGCTGAAGACGGCCTACTACTGGCCGGCAGTCAACGGCAGCGTCTTGGCCAGGTTTAAGCCGCTAGCAAAGACCCGCGGGCTGAGGATCATCCAGCCGACTGCTGATTTCCCGCATAGATTAGGTAAGTGTTCTGCAAGATTTTTGCGACTACGGAACAAAGCGGCGTGAGGACAAGCTGCCGACTGCAAGGTCTCTGAGTTAAGTGCAAACCTTCGTGCAACCTCACTTGTCACACGATCTCTGTTCTACTCTTAAGGTATGAAGCTGACGAGAGAAAACTACTACCGCTACCGGGACGTCGAGCGTGTGCCCCGTGCACTCCGATTGATCCAAGACCGGCTGACGGAAAGTAACGGGGGAATTCTGGGTCTAGACTCGGACGTACCGGACACGTACATGATTGCGGTCTTCCTCATGGATTATCTCGTTCAAAACTCCAACTTCAGACTGGTGGAAGTGGAGAACTGCGTGCAGGAGGTGGCTCCAGCTGTGAACAAGGGGTTCGACATTTGGGAACCCAAACACAAGAAATGATTTTGTGTGGCTGTCAGCTAATATTTTAAGTTGACAGTGCACTTGCAGAGTCTGTGATGAAGAGTGGCAAATCATGCTGCGTGCAAGCCTGTATTCAGGTGCACAGGCCAGTAATCACTTTCAAACATAGGAATTCAGAGGACAGTAGGCCGAATTTTGAAGTAGGCCTTGGTTTGAAGAAAGATTTACTCAGGGTCGCACCTTCTGGCCTTTTTGAAGCTTTGCTAATTTTGGCCCCTCCAGCCAGTCCGAATTCATAAACATTGTCATTATTTCATTTTCTTCAATTTCTGAACTTTAAACGAGAAGCTGTGCTTCTCTTCCTTCTTAGAAGAAACCAGACATTAATATCCTAAAGCTGAAATTAAGTTGACTGTACAAAACACGAGTGAAAAGGGCTCTGAAAATAACCAGCAAAATGACAGACTATATAAAATCTAACGTATAACCTTTATTTGATGTTATTTTAAGTGCACAGCCGTTACTGAAAGCTGTTACATGTATACCAGTTAGGTAAAACAGATGTTGGTTTATGGTTCACAGATCAAGACCAACCGACCTCCCATTAACTTATCATTGGGTATTCTACGTGCTCACTCTCAAATCCCAAGATCGGTTTCACACACTAGCAATCTTCAATATCATATACTATGTTTAATATATACAGTTTCCTTACAACAATCTTCAAGTGCTTCATGGTGCTTATTTGCGACATATTCCTCGATATTTGGTTATGGGTTGGCAATTTCCAAACCAAAGCATTTGGACTTTTTCCGTAGATCTTTTGTTTAAAATTGTCAAAATGATAATATTCAATAAAATGTAGAGATGTTACTTGTCAACGTGTATACTCGCATTGTAATCCTTTTAAGTATACAAAGAATAATGTAGGTCGGCAAGTGATAGAAATGCATACTTCTACGATTTGCCAAACCATCCACGGATTTTTCCCCAAGGTAAAAGCAGACAGTAGCTAACCGACAAACTGAACTTTTTGAAGTGTGTATCCTTTTTTCTTAGTCTTTAAGGCCTACAACTTTTCATACAATGTGCTTTACACAAATGATATTCAAAAACAAAACATTTCACAACATTCATTCTTTCAACAATCTCCATTCCTGCACCAAAAATCATGCCAATTTAGTTAATCCCCGTCAGCACCCACGAAAAATAAGTTACACTATTTATACTTTCACACAAATCTGCCCAGAATCTACATCTCTAAGCCCCAAAGACAATTCACCCTTTTGTGTTCATTAAGCAATATATCATTTCTAAAACATGTAGTGTTTTGTACAATATTACAAAATTGAAATACATTTCCGCATGCACATTTCATTCAGTATCAATGTTAGTATCACTTTAGTAAAGAAAGAAATGAAACTTCTTGAAGGACGCTTCCTTCGGTGTATTACCCTAACAACTATATAGAACCTTTTTTTCTCTGAAATCTCTTTTCTCATTCTAAATCCAAAAAGCTCCAGTGCAAACCCAATGCATCATTCTTAATCCAACTACAGCTTTGCTTCATATCACTTGAACTTGTATGCTCATCTTAAAGATTTGACAGCAAACATTAAACAATGGTGATAGATGATACATTACAAACAGTACAGATGCGTTACTATCATCTCCTTTTGCATTAGAAACCAAACCATTGATGGTTTATAGGGGAAATAATGAATTGAAAGCAACTGCTACAGATTAAACAGTTTTACTGGAGAGGCAGAGATCGGATGTATTTATGACCGATCTTATACAATAACTATACATGTTAAATTGATGAAAATAACACCTATACATACATTAGGAACCTTAAAATCGATAAGGAAAAAATAACAACTTAGTGTTGTGTTGATAAACTGTGCCCTTGTAAGCTATACATGTATAGCTTGTAGCCTATTTATTTTTGTAAATAAATCTCTTATAAACCTAAACAATTACTCAAACCTCCATGTCAGTGATCCTAATTGGCTATTGCCGTTTATTATATCATGCAATCGGATATCTGATTAGCTAAACGCCTTTGATGTATTTAAAAAATTCATATCATCCGAATAGAATGATTTAAATACCTTTTTTGAAAGTCAAAATTACTTTACGAGAATCCTTAATGTTTACCTGGGTACCACGTGACAATGTGCACATCGTTTCTCTTATTTTCACTTATTTACTCTGAAATTCAATTGATATATTACAATGATTCCCTATTGGCTAGTGCACATCATATGACATGAACAGTACACTTAATTGGTGGGTGCCCGTCATATGACACACATCATGTACTCTGATTGGCTCTAGTGCCTGGCTGCATGCCAGGACTCGTCCTGTTCTTGTAGCAGTTCCTGTACGCACAGATCGATGCGGCCTTTGTGTTTCTTAAGGAGCTCCCTGTTCCGTTGGCGATTGCCAAAGCCCATCTCTACCAGCTGGTCTTCAGGGTTCAGGGGTTGGATCTGGGTCTTTGGCCACTCCTCTGGCGCAGGCAAAGGCTGCAGTAAAACAAAAACCAAAGATAAAAACAGTGCACTCTGCACTGCTCTCTTGTACATCAGGGAAGTTTGAAATAGGTGAAGTGCACGTGCAGGGCATGTATACCATGCCACAAAGCAGCACCATAACCTCTCAATGTCACACGTAGGATTGCTCACTTTTATCTTGTACATTTAAGGTACAAGCTTGTACTTCCAGACAAAAAAATCTCGCAGATGAGGCCTGCTGAACGCAAGCCTGATCTATGGTTTGGTTTTTTGACTCCAAGTCATAGTCAAAAGTTAACCACTTACTGCTGGGGGACCCGTTTTCGAGCACATAGGCTTTATACACAAAGCCGGGGAGCCCGAAACCGGGACAAAAGAGCTGGGCCTTGTAACAAAAGACCATGCTCTGCACAAAAGACTGAGCTGCTGGGCATTACCGGCATTTTTTCACTCTCATTAGTGGAAGTAATCCAGCCTTGTTTTGAAACAGTATACCATGGTTTGTGGCATTCAGTGCAAGTGGATTACCACCGGGGACAAGAGCGCTCCACCACCACAGCGATGAGCCACACAGCACCGCTGCACGCTTATCTGGCCCCTACTGAAAAGAGGTCAGCAGCGCACTATGCCAGGTTCATGAACAAAAGAAAGTTATATAACACCGCACAATCTGGGCTCTTTTTACAATGCTGCAGGCCTGGCTGAAATACACGGGTGTCAATAGATTTTGTCTGTCAGGCTACATTGGACACCAGACAGTAATTCATGTGGGTGTAAATGATGCATTTTTGAAGATTTTTGGAAACTGAAAATCTTAAAATTCTCCCGTATGTGTTCACTGCATTTTTCAAACCACCCACCAGCATGTGATTAACATACAAAGGGGCTGTAAGGGTTTAATTATGTTTTCAGACTTAATGTATTCCTGGCAACCAGCCCTTCTTCACATCTGATAAATCAAAATAGAATACTTTATTTTCAGGTTTGTGCAATTAAAGTGGTTTGCTGGCTGATCAGCTCCAAAACAAGAACAGTTGCCAACAATCAACAGTCTTAAAATTCACATAATACAACCACTTTTGCTGCAAGTATATGAAACTTTCAACTACAGTTGTATATTTTCATACATTTCAGGAACACAAACGGTGGAAATCAACCTTTTGGTCTTAGATGGTCTAAAATGTTTGTTCCTTACCTGAGGGTTAAGCAGGGCTGTGACGGACATTGCAGCCTGACCAAAGGCATGTTTCACCAGCCCTCCTGCATAGTCAAAGGCTTTCTGGGCACTGAACCTAGAAACAGATCACATGGGAAATAGGAATACGCGTTGAGATCAAATTCCAATCTTAGTAAACAGCAAATCGGCTGAAGTTAATTACCCTGCTTCTTGTAAGAGAACTGCATTCACTTCCTATGGCACAGGTTCGTGGTTAGCATCTGTCATCCCCTAGGAATGATTTTTTTCTCGTATTTTTACCTGCATCCAGTGACAAAGGACGCTGAGCAATTGTTTTTCTTTCTGATAGAAGAATATTCTACAGGATCAGACTTAATCTGATTCTCTGGTGAATTCTCCGAAATTGCTGTTCAGAAGACACAACATGCTCCAACTGAACAACAAACAATACACTTCTGGAATGCAGTGCATGCCACGTGAAATTCAGTTGCCACATTCAAATCCAACTTTCACCAATTTTTCCTCCCTGAACTACAAATCGACTGTTTATTACGGCAATTGTTTAAACAAAAACCCATCAGTGAGTCCTGTGTGGGTAAAATTGTAGAGGCTGCGGCTACTTGTCCATGGGATGCCGAAATGTGACTGGGCACTATGGGATGTTACTTGGAGGTTGGGTACTTACCCTAAGGCTTCCATGGGGTCTTTGTCACCAGCAATGGGCTCATTGGGTTGACTGGGTGCTGCAGCTGCCCCTTCCTGGGCACTGGGTTCCTCGGCTGCATTGGGCTCCACTGCATCATGGAAGACCTCTTGGTCTTTCTCTCCAGCCGCCTTGAAATCCAAACAAATGAAAACAAATTGGACAATAACCAATGAACCTGGACTTTGAGATGGCCTGATTGCTACTAACAACTCAATTAATAGAAGAGATAAACATAATCACCGCGGTGGATGACAAATACAGAAAAAAGGTAATCGATGACTCGCGGTGTCATGTTGCTGGTAGCGACGTTTCAGCTGCTAGTGCTGCTAGCCTTTATCAGGCAAGTAACAACTCAATTGTAGCCCAGGTACTGCAGGCCAATCACTGGCTCTTTGTGATGGCCAAGAGACCACAGTGGCCACTGCATGCCTGGCTCTAAAGTTGGCAAGACTACTTACCTTACAAACATTATTTCTGACTGAAAAAATCAACCATGGAAGAATGTGTTCATTTCAATTTTCTGCTTAACAGAGAGGTTTCATGACTGAAACACTTGACATGAACGAGTAGGTCGAATTTGATTAATAAAAAAGATTTGGGAACCTTGTTTAACTCAACATTAAGATACCTTGAATTTATAATCTGCACCCGAGATTCAACAGTGAAACTAACCTGGCTTGGAGGATTGGGTGTGTCAACGTTTGTTCCAAGCTGACCAGTGACATCTACGATCTTAGGTGGCTGATCCACAGCTTCACCATATGGACTGATAACAATACCAGCCTGTGGTTGGTACGAAGCTGATGCCATCTCTGTGTCGACAATCACTGTTGGACTGACAATCTTGATGATCTGAAGAGGGCTGGGCACCTGACTTGGTATCAGGGGCTCCGCATGGACCTCTGAAGTAGGGACGTTGAATAGCGCGTCAACATCTGTGGCCACTGAGGAGGATGAAGGACAGGCAGTGGTAATAGCATCCTGCACAGGACTCGGTGTGGTCTGAGAATGGGCGTGGCTTGTGTTGACCGAGACATCCATATCGGTGGCCACTGTGTTGGAAGATGGAGCCACTGTTACGGTGGTTGCATCCTTTGTGCCATTATGGGTAGTCTGAATGCAAGAGTGAGCTGTTGACAGGAGGGCATCTACATCTGTGGCAACTGTCGTGGATGTTGGGATAGCATGAGTGATGGCATCACGCTGGACACAGGAGATGGTTTGGGCCTCATTGTGCGCCATGTTAAAGAGGGTATCTACGCTGGTTGCCACTGCCACGGATACCGGTACAGTGGTGGCTGTGGTAGCATCCTGCGAGGTGCAGGACTCAGTCTGGGTGACCGAGCTGGCAATGTTGAGGGAGGATCCAGCGCTGGTGGCCACACACTTGGAGCTGGCCACCGCGCTCACACCGGTGTCCTGCCGAGAGGGGCTGGAAGCCATCTTGGTCTGAATCTCTGAACTGACCACATGGACAAACGAGTCATCAGCAGCTGCCGTGGAGACGGTACCCACTGGCACGTCCGTCTGAGCCTCACAGTGGGAGGTTGGACACAGCGCGTCAACGTCGGTTGCCACTGCGGCAGAGCTGGGGCTTGCGCTGCTAGCCACGTCGCGCTGCTCACTGGCAGTGGTTTGGCACTCACTATGTGTAGTCGAGGACAGAATCGGTACATCAGTTGCCACTGTATTGCACGATGTCACAGTGGATACACAAGCATCTTGCTTGGCAGCTAATGGCAGGGGCTCCAAGAGAGTAAGAAACGTCTGTCAAAAAAAACCAAACAAGTCATGCTTTCAGGGAGAATTTGGTTAACGTTTTCAAGACCTTTTGACCATTTGCTAATCAAGAATAAGGTGTGCAACTGAATTGTATAATTCTGTAAGGGCCAGCGACCATTTAGACCCGGTTTGAAAAGGGCCCCCCCCCCGGTAGCCCACCCTGTATAATGCCTGCCCGGCATTCAGGCTGCTCCAGGCCGGGATCAGGCCTGTCTGCACATCGGCATTTCAAAATCCCTGATGAAAGGCTTCCCCCACCATGCTTCCACAGATGAATAGGGGTCTAAGCGGATTAGTGTAAACATTGTATAGTGCTGAAGGATTAAAAACCACAAGCGGGTTCCTTCTGGGACAGATTACATGTACCAGTACTTGCAAACAATAGACCCCAGGATGGAGAAGTTCGAGATCAGCAACCAGTCCAGCATCCCAGGCCGGTAGCCAGGCCGGTATGAAAGGGGTTTTTGCAACAGGGTGAGCTTACTGGGGGGCCCTTTTCAAACCGGGTCTAAATGGTCGCCAGCCCTAAGTTGTTCCAAAATGCTTCAAAACATTGAAATCTTTACGCAACATGTTCTTTGATGAAAACCTATCCACAAAGCACTGTAGATGTCACTACAAGAGTTTTTTTGTGAATTGACTGATATTTCCATGAAAAAGCTGAAAACCTAAATCAAATCTTTAGTCTAAGTCTTTCTTGGAACTGTAAAGTCTAAGTGGTACTCCCTGTGAACAAATGGTAAATCCTATCATTTTAAAACTGGATCAAGCAAAATCAACATTTTTGTACTCTGTAAAGGGATAATATCCCAAGTACATCTCATGCATTTATTTATTGACATATCTTTACATGTGTTTCAAATGGGTTTACAATGGCGAAGTGTACAATAAACTTGCAATTCTGGTTTACAAAGAGGGATGAAAAACGATGTTTTCACTTATAGTACATTCACAGTGGCCATGCAAGATCAATTGGTCATAATACCAACAAAGGGCATTTTGGGACAATTCTGTCAGCCCTGGCATTTTAATGAGTGACAATCACAAAGCCCTTTGTCCTACTTGGTACTGACAACCACGTAAATAAGGACCTAGTGGAGGTCCTCCAACCTACCTGAGTGCCAGTAACCGAGCTCTTCCTCTCCATCACTGAAGTGTCCAGCGGTTTGCTAGGATCAAAGCAATCAGGCAGTGGCACCACCTCAAAATCATCCAGGAGGTCCTCTGAGCTTTCGCTGGTACTCAACTTTTCAACGTCATCTAAGGAAGTAAATCCGAACAGAAGTCTGTGAGCAAACTGGGCATTCCTTGTGACTGCTAGAGGTATCACGTACAGAGATGCATGTCACATTGGGTCATTTCATGGGAGGTACCGGATATTCCATTTTACAAGAAGTATGCTTTCCTTTGTTCAGTCATTGTACGTTACGAGAAGCCTTTCCTGGTTTTGTCAAAATGCCGTAAGGGACTCATTGCTAGGTCAAATACATTAGAAGTGATTCATATTTATGTTGCTAATGGCCACAAAGAGCCCTCTATCGTACATGCACGCAGCCAAATACAGCAAACCATTACCATCTTGTTCCCACCCAGCGTAGTTGGTCTCCACATCCTCTTGGGGCAGTCTGGGATCTCCTTCGATCTCTTCAGCTGGTACTTCGACGATCTCCATGTCACTGTGCTGCGACATGTGGCGACTCAGGGCAATAGCGTCTAGCTCACGGACTGGCGAGATGCAGGGTGTAACGCCTACACGGAGAGGTAAGAGTTGATAAGGGTTGGGTTGACTTA